AGTAGATTGGCACAGTGATTGCAGCAGTGGGCTTGAGTGTGTCAGAGAATGTGAGGAGGGCACAGGATAGAGTTGATGTAAGTTATACTTGATCCAGCAGCATCCAGCAGTAACAACACTATATAGATTAAGACAGGTACTTTTAAAACAGATGTTTAAAAAAATATATTTCACAGTTTCTACTCTATTAAAAAACAACAAACAAAAACCCAACGACCAACAAAACAAAAACCTACTGGAAATCCTGGATTTTTAAAAAAAAGATCTTAACTCTTTCTCTGGCTGTGTTAATGAGGGAAGGTTTCTTCTTTTCTTAGAAACTTGGTGAGCGCTGGACAGCAGTATGCCGTTGGACTGAAGAACGTTGGAATAGGTTACAAGAAATCAATCTATTGTGGCAAGAATTATTGGAAGAACAGGTATGAGACTATTATCCTCAATGAGCAAAAGAGAAAGTAAAAAGTGGCCCAACTTTAAGCATGATATTAAAATATTAATTGTAGGGAAAATACGCAGGCAATTGTATTTTAAAAGTCCATTTTTTAAAATTCAAACTTCGGTCCATTTTAAAATTGATCCTGCAGCTGACTTATAGAGATCATATGCTGGGCTTCATCGTAACTAATTCTCTCTGTTTTCATTCTGTAGAATGTTAATATTTAGCTATGCTGTATTCAAGACAGCATGATAATTATTGGATTTTTATCAGTAAATAAGGATTAAATTAATCCATTTATTATGTAGTGAACTTTGAGTCCTGTGTGGGTTTTAAAATTTTATTTGTACCAGGACTGGTATAGAAATGAATTAAGAACTTTTCCTGTTAAAAAAAGTTATTTAACAATGTTAATAATAATGTAATTTTTTTCCCACTAAAGGTTACTGTAACTAATAAACCTATACTCTGACACTTCAGCCTTAATTTTCCAGTTAGAGTGGGAACATTTTGCCCATCCTCCCCCTTTCCAGAAAAGCAGGCATCAAAATAGAATACATAGAAACCAAAGTTTCCCTCAAAGCTCCAAATGGTTGAGGTTTAGAAAATAAGATAACCTAAGATAAGGCTATTCCCACATCTCAGAATGTCCATCTTGATTTTTCTAAATGCATTTTGGTTCCATCCACAAAAAAAGCAGCTGTTCGTGTCAGTGGAAAAAACAAGTGTGTGATACTTTGTGGTCTACTCAAACATTTAAAAAAGTAGGTTGCAGAATTTATCCAAAGAAAAAACTGTGGGTCACTTCCTGTTTTAACTTCCATTCAGAAATTTGTTATGACAACTCATGGTACGCACTGGATTTTCTGCATTCACTGTAGAGGATTGCATGGAAGGGTTAATATTTTACTTGGAAACAATCAGAGTAAACACTGGTTATAGAAGAAAACCATTGGCTATACTTTCACAAAGTAAAAGAACCTTTGGGAAGATATCTTTTGAAGATGGAAAAACAACAGGCTAACCAACTTCCCCAACTCCACCAAAACCCCAAGCCCACAACTCTGGGGGTGGCTACTATTTTGGCTGCTAATATCATTGTACGGCCTTTTAACTGACCCTTGAATTACTTCCTACCACAAATATGGAAGAGTGGTAGCTTGTTAGAATGTAGAACTGAAGCGTATTGGTTCATAACGTATAGGTAGTTTGCTGTTGCATGCATTGAGACCAAATAAACTATACCTGAATTTCAAGCTTTAGTTGCAGGAGTTTTAACATAATTAGAAATGGACTCAAAATAAGTTCTTAAACGTCACCAGCTTGCAAGTGTGACATTCAGGATTTTCTGTAAAAGATACTAAGTTACTTTTCCAGTCTTAACATTGACTACATCCTTTCCTATATTTAGTGCTTAAACCCTGGATTTCTTTGTTAATATTCAATTCCTAGACTGTTGACGCAGTGAGAAGAGTGTTGAGTGCATCTTGTTCATTTCCAGAGTCCCTATGGTTTGGGCCGTGCAGATTCTTCATTGTTTTTATTTATTTCTCTTTGAAGAGCCACTGTATTTTAATAATCTGCCTTGAATTCCCTCTTTTTTCATCTCTTTACTTTTAGGTCTTCCCTACCCTCTTCTCATCTCCCCATCCTCTCACTGAAATTAACTTTTCCTTCTTTAGAATAGAATTTTCACAATGTCTTTTACAGTGTATCTACCTACATTTTGTGCTGTAAAGCGCGCGCATGCGCGCGCGCGCACACACAAACACACACACACACACGTGTTTTTTTAGACTTACTAGTCTGAGGGCAGGATTCATATTTATCTTTTGTTTTCCTTTGTAGATTATAAAAGCATGGAATAGGTTTTTAAGAGCTTGATAAATGAAACAGAGAAAGGATTGATTCCATTGCTAACACAGTTTTTCCTACCAACTGTGTAGTTTCTGTGGTGGACATTGCATTTTGAGCTGGTTTATCACAGTGTAGTTACTATAATTTCCTATCCTTACTTAGAGGTTGTTATTACTGTCTTTATTATTGTTGTTGTGTTGATTGCCATTGAGCCGAGCATGACCCTATGAACAAAAGACCTGAAGCCTTTTTATAACTATGGTTGTTTCTCCAAGTTCATAGAGCTTCCAGAGGCATATGGTTTAAGAAGTCGATGCCACTCCTGCTTCCAAACCTTTCTTAAACTGGTAGCTCCACCAAATACTGTCCACCATGGGCAACTGTTATGGTATTTGACACCCCAGTGGCACAAGGGTCAGCATGACAGCAAACCCAGATTACCTCAGTACAGCAAATTGACAGAAGACTGCTATATGAAGAATGTTCCTCCAAAATAAAAATACATGCCATAGGCCCTTGGGCCCAACCAGCTTTTAAATATAAGACCCCTCCAGGGGTCTTGCTTATTCTAAACAAGAGGCTTATGTTAAAACAAACAAACACAACAAAAACCACACACCAAAACCACCAAACATTCCACACACCCTTCAACTAAAACAAGAACACTAATCTTACAGTGTCCCACCACATCACCCAGTTTCCAAAATGAAGCCGAGGTGCTCACCTTAAACACAAGGGCCCTCCATAGCTTAAACATACTTGTCATGCTGAGACCATCCTCAGACTTCCTTTAATCATAAAGAAAACCAGCCTGATCTCAGTGATGTTCAGTTCTCATAGCAACTGCCTATGTTTCAGAGTAGAACTGGACGCCACGCGGTTTTCATGGGATAGATGAAATTGCTCTTGAATCGTGGACCACACCCCCTTGCCATGGAGTTAATTTGGACTCCTGGCAGCCTTCCATTGGGTTGCTAAGGTTGTAAATCTTACTGGTAGTAGACCGCCTCATTGTTCTCCTGCAGAATGGCAGTTGGATTTGAATTACCAACCTCCCCATTAACCACACATTAGGGAGTTCTGGTGGCTTCCTGGTATGGAATCACACTGCAGAGGTACACAGCGTGAGTCCACCAGCTGCTCCGCTGGAGACAGATAGGTAATATCGTCTGTGATTAACTGTCTCTGAAAATATGTTGGAGGGTCAGCTATGAGTTGGTTCCAACTCTGCAGTTGTTGTTTTTTGTGCTGTTGAGTCGCTTGCGACTCATAGCGACCCTAATTACAACAGCCCTAAACCCTGCTCCATCCTGTGCCAATCTCACTGTCACTGACAACATCTATCCTGATTACCTCAGTCACTGAATCAATCCACCTCAAAGAGGGTCTTCCCCTCCTGCACTGTCTCTCCCCCCTCCCAAGCATGACATCGTCCTCTAAAGACTTATCTCTACTTGCAGCATGTCCAGTGTATGTCAGACAAAGCGTCAGAATCCTTGCCTCCAAGGAGCAGACTGGTTAAACCCTCTCCAGGATGAACCTGTTCATTCTCTTAGCAGTCTATAATATAGTCAATACTCTTCTCCAGCACCACAGCTCAAAGGCATCAATTCTCCTCTTGTTCTCCCTAGACATTGTCCAACTCTCTGATGCATAACATAAATGATTGCAAAGACCATAGCCTTTATCAGACACACCTTAGTCTCCAGAGTGACACCATTGCTCTTCAGTACTTTGAAGAGGTCCCTAACAGCAGACTTTCCCATCGCAATATATCTTTTAATTGTCTGGATGCTGGCGCCAAAAGTGTTCACTGTGGAGCCAAGCAAACTAAAACTGTTAATAGTCTCAATGTCTTCCCCTTCCATTTGATGCTGCCATTGGCCGAGAGGTGAGAATCTTTGTCTTCTTGATGTTGAGTTTCAATCCATATTAAAGGTTGCAGTCTTGACCTTCCACAGCAAGTGCTTCAGGTGCTCCTCAGTGTCAGCAAGCAGGGTTGTGTCATCTGCATAACGCAGATTGTTGATGAATCTTCCTCCAGTCCTGATGCCACACTTTTGCAGTACGCGACAAAAAAGCAACTGTCTACATTACCATGTGTATCTGAGAATAGTACTATGGTTTTCCTTCATGTGCCTTTTGATGGGAACCTTAGATATGGTTCTCCCCTAATTACTCAAGTGATCTTTTTTCTTTCTCTCCAGAATGAATGCTGGAGACAAGAAAATCTCTGAGAATTTTGCCTTTAAACCCCCTTCTCCCCCAAATAGATTCTGACTCAAGGGAACTCTATAGGACAGTGCAGCTCTGTCCCATCGTGTTATTGTAAGGACAGACAGCCATGTCTTTCTCCCGTGGAGCTGCTGGTAAATTTGAACAACTGCCCTTTTAGTTAACAGCCAAGTGCTTTAAGCACAGGGAAACCTTTTTCTACCTTTAGAGTGTAATTAATGTGAATTTTTTTAAACTAGAAAAAAATGAACAAGTTATTAGTCTTTCTACTTGTTAAGAAATTTCACTGCCAAGCCAAAGGCTCAGTGTTTATATCTACCAGCTGCTTTGTGGAAAAACAATGGACCGTCTCCTCTGTTCCACTTATTGCCACTGGGATGAGAGGGGGCGTCAATTATAAGTTGGTTCTGACTCAGTGGTACACAACAGCCACCACCTGGGAATCTTCACTGAGTTACGCAGGTGTGGGGCTAATGTCAGACTGATCTGCTGTATATCCAAGAAGGATAAAGTTTGAAAGGAAGCTGTCTTTCTGAGTCATTCATGCCTCAGACTTGGGTATTTGAGGTCTTTCTTAATCTCCTGATAAATTGAAACCTTTAGCAAAATAAGTTAGAGATTTATGATCATGACTGAGTTAAATTGCCAAATGGATTTCTCATTTTTTTTCTTGTTACTTGTAGTGCTTGTTGAAAGCTTGGCTAACTGAAAAGGAAGAGGCTTTAAATAAAGTCCAAACGAGTAACTTCAAAGACCAAAAAGAACTGAGTGTCAGTGTCCGACGGCTGGCTGTAAGTGAAGTGGTTGCCAGAATCCTGTGACTTTTCAAATGTTCTCAGTGGCATTAGTACAGTTTAGTGAATGTGGATGTGGCTTTTTACCCAACGAGAATGGCGCCATGAAAAGATCTAGAAGCATGAGTCTTAAGCGTTTAAGTGAACTGCATAGTATGCTAATTTTATTACAAAAGGTGCATGTTTATGGTTTTTAGTTGGGGAACAGGATGAGAAGTTAAAGGAGATTCACTAATAAATCTCTGAAATTTTAGATTTTGAAGGAAGACATGGAAATGAAGCGCCAAGCACTGGATCAGCTGAGTGAGATTGGCCAAGATGTGGGTCAATTACTTGATAATCCCAAGGCATCTAAGAAGATCAACAGTGACTCTGAAGAACTGACACAGAGATGGGACTCTCTGGTTCAAAGACTAGAAGATTCTTCCAACCAGGTGTCTTTGGATTTAAGTGATATCTCGTGCCACTGTATAGAAATTCAACTGTAGATGTTTGGGTTAGGTTTAGTAGTTAGGAAATAGAGGAGTAGCAGGTGAACTGAAAATAGTTGGTTCTTAACGCCGACTACTTTTGTGATGACAAAAGTTTATTATAAAACTGAAAATGTGACAAGTGAAGATCTTTAGTTTTAGAAAATAAACTTTAGCAAAGCTTTAAAAAATGTATTAGTATTCAGGAATTGAATCCTTAGTATCTGTTTCAGGTTTCTAGGGCTGCCGTAACAGTTGAACACCTATCTGATGACCTAAAGCAAAAGAAATACACTCTATCACAGTTTTTGAAGAACATATTTGTATTCAGAGTATCGGCAGGACTTTGTTCTCCACATCAGCTTGCTCCATCTTTCTGTCTGTCTATCATCTATCTATCTATCTATCTATCTATCTATCTATCTATCTATCTATCTATCTATCTCATGTATCTATATCTATCTATCTATCATCAACTATCTATTTTCTACATCAGTTCTTGTAGAGATATTTCTTTGTCATTTTTTGCTTCTAATAGTCCCAGGTGATCCTTGAGTTATGGCAGCATAGCTGTACTGTCTGTCTCCCTCTCCCCATAGGAGTCCTCCCTCTGTGTCTCCTCATTTTATGATGACACCTTACTATTTGGGACTTGACCACCGTACTCCACTGTAATCTTATGTTAATGTATTCGATTTGTAAAGACCTGTGTTCATGGGACACACCCCAAGATTTTGAGAATTAGAACACAAGTGTATCTTTTTGAGGAGCACAGTTCTACCCACAGTAGGACATGATTACACTTAAGACATGTATCAATTTTTTAGCAAATGTAAAATATTTTAGTCAGTTTATATAAAAAAATGAAACTGTGCATGCATGTTCATGGCAGCATCGTTCATAATAGTTTAAAAAAAATGAACAATCCAGATGTCCTTTAGCTGATGAATGTTGTTGTTTTTG